AGCACGCCGCCCGCTAGCGGGGCGTGGACCACGTGGACCACTCTTTGTGTGTCGGCTACCTGCCTTGGAGTCCGCCTCGAGAGCATCCACTTGCGGCGCCTGCTGCCCGGGCCCCCCCGGCTACCGCCCGGGCGAGACCCGCGGTAAGGCTGGTTTTTGTTTCGGGTTTAGGTCCCTGTGCACACGACAGAAACGCCTCGCGACTACTCGCCTGGCGAAACTACCATGCCCCATAACGTGGTTGGCAAGGGCCGCGTTCACTTGCGGCAAGCCGGCCGTGGGGCGCCCGGGTGGGGGTTTGGTGCAACGCTATTGTCGATGAACACCACCCGTTGCTGCAGGACGTGCCCGCACCGCCGGTGTGCCCCGCGCATGGCCCCCGCCGGCTCGCACTTGACTTCCGCGAGTCCAGCCACGGATGGGTGTGTTGCCGCGGATTTCCCCCAGAAGTCCTTCCATGCCCTGGCCAGCGCATTCCGCCCGCTGAGGCACCCGATGCTGCAGCACAATTTACCTCCTTGGCACCACCAGCGCCCCCAACACAGGCCGGCTCGACTGCCGTACCGGCCGCTGCAGCTTGGTGCAACGAAGGCCGCCCTGACGCGCCCGCACATGGCCGCACGCATCGCGTGCGCAGCACGCTGCCGTTGGCCGCCTTCACCCTGCTGCACTCACCGCTTGGCCCACGCCTTGTATGCGCCACTCTGGCAGCACGGCCTCGCCACCCTTCCCAGCTTAGCCGCACATCTTGGAAAAAGGAAGCTGTTGGGAGCACTGGATGCCTCCTCCGCTTCCGCTGCCCTCCTCGACTCATAGGCTGGACCGTGCGCAGAGCGAGCGGCCACCAGAGCATGCCGGGTGCCGGACTGCGGGTGGCGCAAAGGACAGTTCGGCTGCAAAAGCCGGTAGCCCAGACTAGCGCAGACAGTAAGGTGTCCAGCAGCCAATACCCTCAATGCCAAGCACGACAAGCCGACACCGGCGACCGGAAGCAAGCTCTGGGTATGTTTGGTTTTGGCTGCCGGGACACGCAGAACTGCCCCTTTGTGTATAGCCTCTCTCGGCGTGGCGTGCCAGCTGCAGCGAGGGGCGATGCATGGCGATGCCAATTCGGTGTCAACGGCAATCTGCTTGCCGCCCCAAAAAGGCAGGCCGTTGGCGAGGACCTCGATGCGTCTCTCGTCCGGGCAGTGCCGGGCAGACAGGACGACAGGCAGATCAGGCACGTGAAAACATGCGTCGCGACATTAGCGCGACAACTGCTGCCCCATCGTTGCGTGTCCCGCATTGCATGACGAGGTGAAGCCGGCGCCGATCTTCCGCTCCAACTCCCGGGTTGTGGTGTGTGCCAGCCACTGCTGCGGAACGATTTGGCCTTCTGCCCCAACTGTAGCGCCTCTCTTGCGACACGCGCCCACGCTCTCTCTATGAACGTGGCCTGGCCTGGGGCACCACGGGGCAATTTGTCTAGTTGACAGCGCTGCCGAAGCTGGCTTTGGAGTTGGAGGTTGTTATTCGCAGCCCGCTCTACAGTGCCAATTAATTGGGTATGTCGGGAGGTCAACTCACTGCGAGCAGCAGCCGAGCTTCCCAGCGCTGTGGCCGAGAGCTAGCATTACAAAATGTTTCCAGCCGGTGTTACTGTTCGCATTATGAGACGTGACCGAGGAGCAAGCGCTGGATAAACTGTCATCGTGCTGAGATCTCTTCCTTCTGCATTATTGAATCAGAAAGTAATGGACAGACATGCTTGTGTTTGCTATGGTCTGTGGTGCTTATGTGGCATGCCATGAATTATTCCGCAGCCATGCGAGGGTTGGTAGTCACGCGAGGACAAGGGACAGTCCTGCCAGCAGCCGCCCAGCCAACCACAGCAGTCACCTCACGCAGCTGCACACTCACACTCACGCACACACGCTTACGCACTCTCACTCTCACACTCAAGCTAGCCTGCTACAATGAATTTATAGCTAGTTACCATGGCGACAGATACTCATAATCTGATCACGTCTAGTCACTACGGGTAGCATTGGAGCATGACAGTGCAAAGTCTTACGCCATCACGTCCGCAGCCAGCCCTCACGCAGCCCACACCAGCCAAAGCCACACCCGCAGTCCATCACTGTCCACCAGCAGCCAGCAACAGCACGTGTTTCGCTGCCCTCCCTTTCGACTGGGTTGTCCACCACAACAGCTTGTGGGCAACTGCTTTCCACGTCCGAAGCCAGGCCAGTGTCACGTGTTGTCCTCAGGTTGATTGTGTGAAGACCCACAAGCCATGCAGTCCTTCGTGACACTCATGGCCCTCATGGCAGGCAAGCTCTCCAAAAAGATGTCGGATCCGAATCCGAATGCGCCGCCATTCATCCCGGGGGTGCGCTAACACGGGAATTGTTCAGCTGGACAATGAGAGATTTGTTGATGTCAATTTGTGTATCACAAGAGCTTTCACGCATGTTTTCGAATACTTAATTGAACTTAATTGTTTGTCTCTGCACCTTCGTCAACCGTTCTCTGCCTGTGCCAGACCAGCTGGGGTGGGCTCCACCAGACGCCGGACCTGAACCTGCATCTGCACCACGAGGATGTGCTGTAGGGGTAATGCAGTTATCTGAGCCTGCAGAGAGATGCTGCAACAATCGCAAGGGCAAAGTTGAGTTCGTATTGTCAATGTTCTGCACGAGGAGGCCGTGGCAACGCTCTCCCGTGGTCCTCCAGGCTGGGCCGTGGAAGCGTTGCTGATTTGTCTATGGCTTGCATTAGCAGATGAGCATTCTAACAGAGCAACACCCGGCTTCCTGTTCCCGCAGCTGAACAAGGGCTTGATTCCCGGCTGAACAGGGGATGTTGCGCCAACAAGCCGCGGCCAAGTCTTCGGTTCATGTAAGATGAGACCGGAGTAGAAAGCACGAAAGCACGTGAGTGAGATTTGTTCGTCGAGGTGTCCTAATTCTAGACTAGAGAGGTTTTCTGGTTCAAGAGAAAGACTAGACTAGATTTTGCATTTTTTGTGTTTGTTTTGCTCTAGACGAGCGCCTCTGATGGTGTGGAGACCGCGTGCCGCCCGGCCTGCTGGGCCAGCTTAGGCCCAGAGCAGAGCAACAGAGCAGAGCAGAGCAACAGAGCTTTCTTTCCTCCACGGCTTTGTCAGGACCAAGGCAATGGGCTCCGTGGAGTCTGCGGCGGACGCCGTTTCAAGCTGTACTCAGTTTTCCGATCGCAGAAAGAGGGGTTCATAGATGAAGGATCCGAGCAACGTTTTCTTTCAATTTCCTCAGCGTTCGCCGAGTCGAGGATACCATCGCTGAGCAAAGAAGAGATTCGACCGCCATGGGCTCTGGCACAGGCGGCTACTTGCTCGACACAGCTGGCATTCAAATTTTCCTGGCCCAAGGCAAGCACGTGTGGGTGTCCCCACCCTTTATAGCCCAGCGTCTGAGGACAAGTTTGACTATGAAGATTGTCCTTTCTGCGACCTGCGCCGGCATCATTGTGTCTGGCTTCGCAGCGAAATCAAACGTCTCAAGTCAGAGGCCCGATTCATGGGTGTCAGTCGCATGCAGCAGACGTTGTGTTGCGTGTTGCCTCCAGAGGTGAGGGCAAGAGCCCTCTTCGATGTATTGGACCCCATTGCCCCATGGCAGGTTGCTGCTGTTCAGACCACCATCCCGCCACGGCTTTATCCCGAGTTGCGCCAACAGCTGGAGGTGCACGTGACAGTTCTTTCGTTTCACGATGTCAAGCCTTTGACTGGCCGGGAGCTCTGGTTACAGTGTTTTCGCACATGAAGGCCGAGCCGCTGCCACCATCAGGCTACACTGGAGGCGTTTCTGGTTAAACTTGGAAGACAGCATGTTCCCTTCTCATTGCTTCACGCAGTGTGTGAGCTGTCAGAAAGAAAGTTTTCAATCTAGCATTGAGCCATCAAGCCTCTGCGAGGCGTGGATGACATCTCAGCCAGTAGCTGCCCTCGCTGCCCGGAACATCGCCAAGAGGTGTGCCGTAGGCCATAGGCCGTAGGCCCAGCGTGCCTAGATTCAATTCAGGTTTGCCCTGTGAAGTCTGGAGGCTTCCCTGTGCCAGGTATTGGATCTCCAGGCAGAGGCCAACAAGTGGGATGCCGAGTGCAAGGCGCAGAGTCAAGCACGTGCCAGAAGGTTTCAGATGTTGAGTCTTCGTCATTATTCGTCTTTTTGCTTCATGTGCCGACCGTTTGGGCAGGCCCGCATTGAGTCACGGCCTCGGAGGACAGTGCTGAATGTCCCAATTGGGTGTATCCAGCCCGGAATCTGACATTTGTAGCTCGTCACTGCTGCAAAGTGGACCACCGCACCCAAACACCCAAGGTTCCGAAGAGGACGTGCCAGAAAGATCGAAGACATGCTCATTGAACCTTGGCACGTTACAGAGTGCGAGGCCTGAGGTTGTGTATCAGATCGCATGTGGCAGAATGTGGCAGACAGAGCTCTAGACTCCAAAGACGCATCTTCCTCCTGAAGATGACAGCATCCCGAGACTCAGGAGAAACGCCAAATCGAGGCAGAGGGCTGCCCCGTTGCTTCCTTCCACGCATGCCCCGCTTCTTCCACCACTTTCATCACCTACAGTATCCTACGGTGTTATGAGTTTCGTCTTTCGAGTACAACTACGACTGCTACTGCGACGACGACGCAGACGACGATGAATCTCGACCTGGGATCTTGAATTCTACATTCTACTTATACCACGTTCTTTAATTCTCCCCCTCCCTTCTGCTCCATGGACTACAACTGTCCGTTGCCAGGCGCGGCTCTTCAGCACAGGCACTGGCACTGCTATGGACGATGGCCATTTCTTTGCCATCACAAGGGTGGCCGGTCACGAAATTACCACATGTGGCCTTGCAGACAGTTTGAATATGGTGTCACCAGCTCATGTAAGCGCCGCATAACTGGATGAGGTGAATCTGGCGGACGAGGACGTGATGACCACCGCTGCCGCGAGACCGCTGTAGGGCCTTCTCCCGTCAGGTACCGTTGGGTGCCATGGGTAATTTCACGACCGCTCCGCGGGCATAGCTTTACTGGGCGATTACATTTGTTTCCCGTACTTGACTTTCCTTATGTTAGTCGTGGCGGCGCTGTTTGTTGTACAGTGCCATGTCGTGCATAGTCACTGTAATCACCGGAAGATTTCCATGTAAGTCTTTCTGAAACTAGCAGTGTAGGGCTATGGTCTGGCCTCAGCCTTCCATTGCAGAGGATGGAGTGAAACCTTCGAAAGGTATTGTGGTTCTCAAACGAGTCGTTTATCGAACTGAATCTTTTGCTGATTTCTTGGTTGTGTAGACCATCTAAAACCCTAGCAGTGAAGCAGTGAAGCACAGTGAAGCTCTCCGCCGAGCATGTACCCCTAGCATGGACACAGTTTGGCTTGGAGGCAGCCGTTCTTCAGGCTTGCTTCCTGGCGCACAGACACCGCAGAAGCCTGGTGTTACAAGTCGCAGCAGTCCAAGCATGCAGAGGTTCTTCTACTATATAGACCATCTGAGTCTGCTTTGCCGGTCTTGGACTGTTGCGCAGTTGGCGTTGATGGTTCCTCAACTTTCAAGCCTCCGCCCATGGCCTGACTTGATTTAGCCACTCTTTCAGACAGCGTTCTTGCTTCCGCGATGGGGGCACTTGAAGGACTACATGGTATGGCGGGTGCATCTCTCGCCAGAACTCGTTCACTTGTATGCGTTGTTCAGTGAGGCAATATATGATGAGCGGGATGGGCCCTAGAGATAAAAGGCAGTTATGCAGACAAGATGCCGATCTGCTCTGTACAGGGTGTTGTGCGGTGTTGCTTGGGCTTGTGGGTGTTGCTATGAAGGCATGGAGCCTGTTGCTATTTGCTTGAAAAACCGCACATCCCAACTCGGGGAACCTAGCCGGAGCGACCACTTCGTCGGAGAAGAGAAGAAAAGCTTGCTCGACATCAGACGGGAATGCAAATTGCCGCTCGAGTTTCAGTGTGCGCTTTTCGATTCTGGGTTTGCGGCCTGCCAGGCTTGGTTACCTCCGCCTACAGTCGCCCGGCGCCTCCCACGGAGCCTCCACCCATGCCACCATCTGGAGCGTTGCATGGCAGCACTTTTTTTGTTAAGATTTTTGTTGGCCATGCCCTGTTTTCGGTACCTGATGGCCCCGACCATGCTGGCAGCCGAGGCCCCCGTTGCCGGGTGTGAGCTTCGGGCTGGGGCAACTGGGCCCAAGCATGGGGCCAGTGCCCAACCGCGGCTCGGCGCTCAGACCGCTCGCGTGGCTCTTTGTGCTTTGCCTGTTCCATGCTGCCTCGCGCAGGTTTGGCACCACAACCTGTAGGTGGCCGCCAGCCGTGCGGCTGCCAGGCGCGGTCAAAGCCGAAGCTTCCTACGGCCACTTTTGCCTCTAGTGAATCACGAGGCCATTGGTGCGGGAGCTATTGGTGCCGGACCCATCGGTGCAGGAACCATCGGAGGGGCGATCGCTCCGCCAATGGCACCGTCGCCGCCTGACTGGGGCCTGCCTCGCCAGGACCTTCACCAAATGCAACAACAGCAACGTTTTCCCGCACAAATGCAACCCCAAGCCCCACAAGCTCCGCAAGCTCCACAAGCTCCACAAGCTCCAGCGGCTGCCCCACAACCCCCACAATCCCCCCAAGCCCCACAAGCCCCAGCGGTGCAGCCTCAAGCATTCCAGCCCAAGGCTGTCGGACGCCCGGTGGTGCCTCCAGACACAATACCGTCGCAAGAGCGACCTGCACCTGAGGTGCCGCGTCGCGAGTCTCGTGAGGTGCAACCACCCGAGCCAGCCCGTGAGGCAGCACCCGAGCCCCAGCCTTCGCGTGATGTGCGTGACGGGCCAACCCGTGACCGAGACACCCGCCCTCCAGTCGGAGCTTCGACAGGCCCGGCGCTGGAGCGCAAAGGAAGCGCCGGGGAAAAGTATGTCCCGCCTGGCTCAGGAAACCGCCCTGCGCCCCCGCCCCGCCCACAAGCCGACTCCAAACCGGTCGAGAAACGATTCGAAGCCTCTGCAATCGAGCGCCGCAGGCACAGCCGTGAGCTCAGCAGAGCGTCTGCCAGGTTTTGGGGGTGCGGATGCCTTTTGTGCAGAAAGCAGTCCCAACCACCATGAAAGCCTCAAGAAATAGAGAGCAAGAAAAAGCACTCCCCTGCCAAGGTGTGGATGCTTGGGAGGAGTCAGGCCCCATTCGAGCAAAGCCGGCGCCGTCACACTCCGCAGGCCTTCTGCGCAGATCGGAACAGAGTAAACCTGTACATGGACCTCCGTCCCGTGTGTCTCCAGGCCCTTCGACTTCTGACGACAAGGAGCACCCAGTTTGAGGGGAGCGCTTTCTGCACTCGCAGCTTCCCTTCCCGACAGTGCAAGAGATGTAGGAAGTTTGTGTATGGAGGGCGCGCTGCCCAGAGCCCTAAACCCACCCTCCGCTCTCCGAGTCGTAATCGCACTTGAGCGGGATTCCATCGACCTGATTCTGACTCGTATAAGACCTTCACCCAGAACAGCTTCACCCATCAGCTTGACTGAAGGTTTGCTGGTATATACATGTGTACATGTAAACAAAAAAACAAAGATACGTCCGTGCAGCCATACGCCCATGCAGCCATGCATGCATGCATGCATGCATGCATGCATCTACCCACCCGCCCGCCCGCCCACCCACCATGCATCCATCAATCCAGCCAGCCAGCCAGCCATCATCCATCCATCCATCCACCCATGCATGCATGTGTGCACGCCTATACATATTCTCCCGCACATACATACATACTTACATACAGACAGACAGACAGACAGACAGCCATGCATGCATGCATGCATACATACATCTCTCTCTCTCTGCATAAAAAGGGACATAGATATAGATATATATATATACACACACACATAGATACACATTTTCATTCCAACTCGAGTCTTCGAATTCCTATGTGAATATCGCCCCTACAACAAATCTTTGTGTCGCACCTTGTATGTATGCAAATAAGCACGTGTTTATGCATGCATGCATGCATGCATGCATGCATGCATGCATGTATGTATGTATGTATGTATGTATGTGTTTATGTTTGTACGTATGTGTGTGTATGTATGTATGTATGTATGTATGTATGTATGTATGTGTGTGTATGTATGTATGTATGTATGTATGTATGTATATATATATATGTATATCTGTGTGCGTGTGTGTCTGTATGTATGTGTGTGTGTCTGATGGTGAATGTGTTATGTATATATATATATATGTATATACATATATGTATGCATGGAAAATTTGGGGATGAGAAGGTGCGTATGATGCCGCAGACCAGTACCCACCATCTGGTCCAGGACTCCAAAGCCCGCAAAGAGCTGCTCCATGGAGTCTTCCGTGCTTGCGATCTCAACGGCGACGATTGGCTCAGTGAGGGTGAGTTCCGCAACATCGCCGCCTGGGCTCAATGGCAGGGAAAGATTCGAATTGTGCGTTTTAGACAGATGCTGTTCCTTTGAGACGTCCAGCGAGAAGCTCCCAGCCTGCAAGAGCTGAGGCAAACTTCTATGGCTTCAAAGGGGACAGTGAGAAGTGGGCGGAGGAATTCAAGAAGCTGTGCGAGGAGCTCTCTGCTTTCACCCCGGTGTCGCTTCTTCCCAACATATGGGCGCAGCGTAGTGTTATTTGACCTTTCCCTTCAATGCACAAGAAGCTGAGACTCGGAGTCTTCTGGCCACAGGAGCATCGTGCGAACCCTAACAGGGGAATCAGTGGAAGCCTCAGTGTCCTTAGATCTGTTCCGTATGCTGCCGTTGGTCCTGTGCTCTTGGTCGTGAACTCGGGCTGCTCGAGCCACTCCCCAAGCCGCACACTCTGAGCCTGAATCAGAGACTAGCACAATCCGTAGCCATTTTGGTGCAAGCACATCCAACCATGTCTGCAGAAGCAAAAACGCGACCTTAGATCATCATCGTCGTGTTGTCTTTCGGCCATTGTCCACATTCTGTTGTTCTGACACATCTGCTATAGTGGAAGAAGCAGCAGAGGACGAAGCATCTCTGCCGCTCCTGAAATGTCGCCGTGTGCCGGCTGCTGCCCGACTGCGCTGACGTCGTGTTGTTGCCTCAAGACCTACGACCGAGACTCTGCGATCCTACAGATTCTTTCCGAGAGCACCGATCCTGACAGCCCTTCCTTGTTTGGACGCCTCTGCTGGTGCCAGACTGAGCCGATTCCGAGGCCGTCTTCTGGCATTGAGGACATTGAAGCGATCCGTAACCTCGCGGGCGTGACATTGCAATCCGGATCGCATGCGACCGCAGGATCTCTGGAAATACTCCGATGGGGAAAATTCGATGCCGAGACACGAACGCTGACTGCCACAGGCTTTGGTGGCTTCAAACAGCCGTGGTACACGGGATCATGGACCGAGCCGGCTGGTGATCCCATCTGGTGCTTTCTGATGTGGCTGGCGCGAGTGGGCAATGCTACCTACGAGTTCCGCTTCTCCGAAGACTTCCAACGTGCCGACATCATCCCGCGAGGCAATCTCGGGGTCTTCTGCTGTTGTTGCTGCCCCTGCATTCCACCCTGGTTTGCAATCCCGGCATGCCTGACACGAAACTTCATGGTTCAAGCCGATTCCTCCATCAAGGGCGACCATTGGGAACGCTTCCAAGGAAATTGCAATCAAACGCCCACCTTTTACTACGACATCTATGCGGTCTACGATCCTGAAGGCAAGGAGACACGCTGGAGCCAACTCGCACGAGAGCAAGCCCCAGCGCAGGTAATGATGACCATCTGACTAGACGGTTCAGAAGGGCTTCTGTAGATCTTCAGACGCGGGCAGGCAGTTGAGATTTTGGTAATAATTGTTGTTCATTGACACCGAAACCAACATGTGGATTCTTCTGGCAGTCCTGGCTCGACTTGTCCGAATTCCTGGTTCCAGGTTTGCACGAGCACGGCATACAGACTGGTTTTGGAAGCCGTGTCTTTAGCTGCGAAGCGGATGACAAAACCACTCCGGAGCTTCAGCATACTTTGGCCATGAAGCCTTGCATGAAGCATGGTAAAGAGTGTAGAGTCTAAAACCAGGATCTCAGGACTTAGGCGGGCACTTCCGTGCAGTCTGCAGTTGGTGCATCCGCGTGAAACAACGTGGTGAACCCGGCCACGCCGGTGGATGTGCGTCCTGCCTAGAGCAGTTTGAAAGGTTTGGGAGCCTGACCCAGCTTTGCATTAAAATGTGCATAGATAGCTAGCTACCTACCTACCTACCTACCTACCTACCTACCTACCTACCTCCCTGCCTCCCTGCCTGCCTGCCTGCCTGCCTGCCTACCTACCTACCTACCAACCAAC